ATAGTGACCAAAATTATCACGGTTATCAGTATTAACATGGTTTTGGTAAATAACGTTGCATCATACATATTAGACATACTAAAGGCATTCTGCCAAGATCTAAAAATGAACAAAAACAACTACATTTTGCAGGTTTATGCCATTTTGGAAAAAAAACTACATAAACATCCCTGGATCACTGCATTTTGGATTTGCTACTTATATTTGTATTAATTCATGTACATTGTTTGGTGCGATTTTCTTATTTAAAGTATAGTTTGTTAAACCTGAAGTTGTAAAACTACCTCATAGTTTTACACAAAATGGCATAAAGCAGATTCATAAAAACCAAAAAAGTGAGACATTTGACAAAAAAATTCTAATTAAAAATGTTCAGAATTCATTCATTAATTTTCCTTCGAATTAGTCCCTTATTTATCAGCAATCGCCACAGTGGAATGAACCACCAACTGTTCTGGCATATTATGTTTTATGCAGCAGATGTAAATCCAACCACAACCCAGTGATGGGAAACATCCATACACACTCATGCACCAACACGGGGAGAAGATGCAAAAAGAATTGCCAACTGGTCCAGCCAGGACTCGAACCAGCTACCTTCTTGCTGTGAGGCAACGTTGCTAACCACTGAGTCACCGTGTCGCTCAATTTTCAAAAAGAAGTTTTTTTTATAAACTAATTTCAAGAGGATAATATGCTTATGCTTGACCACAGCTGGTCCTGCATTAGCAAAGCATTCACCAATCAGATGATTCCCAACTATTATATTTTTTGATTATATTTATTAATTATATTAATTGATTATATTTATATTATTTGCAATGACGTGCAGCACACACTGTAAATGAAACGAATACAACATACTTTAACTGAATAGATGAATATATATTTATTAAACAGCTAATTTTTGAGCTTATTGCAATGTTATAGGATTTACTGTAAGTTTACAAAATAGCAATCAAGGTTTAAATGATGATGACATTTTTAAACTAAGACTAACCATCAAAATATTTACAATGGTTTACCTTAAAACTGGTAATCAAGACAACATTACTCCTGATTATACAATGAGGTCTTATCAAGCAAACAATCAGTTGATGCAAAAAAAAAAAAAAAAAAAAATCCCTTACAGATGAATCTTTTTACTTCATAAGACACCAGACCAGTGTGGTTTGCCTCCATTTGTTATTTTAGCTATCAAAATGTTGGTAGATGTTGACTTGCATTTTATGAATAACAAATAAGCACAATTCCAACAAAACAAATGGCTTGGAGGTACGTAAATAATGACATAACTATAATTTTAATGTTATTTTGGTCCCCACTGATATTGTATTTAGATAAGCATTATCTTTGTGCTAAACATAAAGGTTAAAGTTAATGACAGATTAAAATTTTCAGTGAACTACGCCTTTGTAATTGTGATAGTGTTGTTTCTATGCACATATACTGTTATTTGGTCATAAATTCATCTATCCATCCATAAAGACTTATTCCACAAAAGATGATCTTTCCAGATCCACATAAGAGAATATGGTCTCATACAGTATGCAGTGCCCACAATGCATTACTTAAAGATTCACCACCACAGTCCTCTATATTTCTTCATTATTCTGATGCAACTATGGGTGCTTTGTTGGAATATGTTTACCTCGGGGAGATCAGTCACTCCTCTATTCTCCAAAAAGCTCATGTTAATATAAAGCAAAACTCTAAGGTTCTTAATTAAGCGCCGGCTTTGAATTTGGGAGGAACTTTTAAGTTCATTAACCTCGTGCAACCAGATACAAGAAGAAGGACGAGAGTGACCTTAAAAAGTAATTACAAACCAATAGACTACCCCCCCCCACCTCCACCCACCCTAGAGCGCTGACACCAGACAACATAATGACAGAAAGACAATGACTCTTTGAGACGTCGCCTAGCAACAAGAAGCACTAAAAATACATCGCTCTGTGCTTTTTTTAAAATCCGGTATCATTGGAATGTATAAATACACATATGCCGGTACAAATGTGGACCGTATGTACATCTGTTTTGCCCACTATTTTTTGCGTCACACACTGTGAGAGAAAGTGAGCTGAGCACTTGCGTCATTTTCCATAGACTCGATTTGGTGGACTCTGTTTAATCATTCACAAAAATGAAAAGCTATAGCAGCTCAGCCTTTTTAAAGCATCCTAACAGATAGCACCATTCTTAAATGGTGCATTTGGCCACTGGCATCATTGTAAATCAGATAATGGGACTGCACGCTCACTTAAAATGACTTTTTTAGTACATTAAAAAGTTTGAAGCGCTGGTCTGCCGGGGCTCCTAATAGTGAACAACACCAGAGTTTCCTACAGCTATAACTTTTCATTTCTTATAGCGTGTCCCAGGTTGGACCAAGCAGATGGCTGATAGCTGGGAAAATGGGGACGTGTTAAATCCTTGTAAACAATTATGTAATATCTGCAAAGTGAATCACTGTATCACTTAGCTAAGAAGAGTGCGGGATAGATGGAAAGAGAGAAAAAGGCTAACTAAGCTAGCATAACTCTTGGCTAACTGGAAATGAACCAAGTCTCATTAGTTAAGGAGCAGATGGAGGACACTGATTAAAGAGAGCAAACTGAAATTGAACTGGAATCCAATCCATTATACATTAAACCACACACATAAACAGAAATTAGGTAGTGGCGATGCTATCAGGAGAGGCAAGCGCTTGGAAAATTAGATACAGCTCTGAATTAATGCGGCGAAGGCGAGAGGCTCACATTTCACAGGTAAAATGCATATGGTGTGCGTGAACGAAAAATGAACTCACCGTCTTGTCTCACAGATTACAATGTAAACTTGGTGACAGACCTACTTCAAAGCCTAAAATGATGTACTTTTGATATCAAGGCACCCATGTTGTGTTCACACACAACCACATGACTCGATGCAATGCCTTCAAATTTAAATAGAGTTTTGACACAGTGAAGCTGTATATTATTAACAGTTTAGTGACAGGACAGTCCGCTCACTCTCTGCATGATTTAGGACCAACAACATGGGTATGAATGTGATACATAGAATCTGCAGCCATTTATAGATTCATAGATGTTAGGAGAAGATCCATAAGCTCACAGAATGGGAGCCTGGAACTCCTGAGCGTGGCAGTGACACACGAAATTCACTGTGCTTTAGTATAGCACACTTTCATACATTAGGACACTCATATTCATACAGTATACAAAGACATCGTACAGGGATTGGTGCACAACATTGTCAGATTTTTTTTGCACTCGCCCATTCAAATACATGCTCTCTCACACACACATATGGTCTACAATATTGTTCCCCACATAATACATAGTTAATAATAAATATCAATAAATATCACATGTATAAACATCAACACCTTGGTTCTTATGTCACCATTAAACTACTTCTTTTGGTCTCCGTTCAACTTCTATCACTAATGTTGTGCCATGCAACATGTGTGCCTCTTTTTGCTTTCAGCAAAGAAAACCTTGAGAAAAAAATATTTTCCCCTTACATTCCCCCTTTTTACTTCATAGTTAGCTTTCGGTAGCAAGGTCAAAATGACTAAATAAATAAGTAAATGAATAAATTAAAAAACACAAGCGCAAAAGATTTACAACACCAACACTTGACATGAAATAAATAGATATGAAAAGGGTGATGTGTTGTGTCAAGAATGAGGTCTTAAGTAAAGAATGTACAGGTAATATTGGGGCGGGCCGCAGATGAAGGGTGTGGTTTATGTCATTGTAAATGAAGAGAGTGTGGTCTATTGTATGACCTATGAAAATGTGTGATATAGATAGTACAGGTTTTTAGGAGCTGTAAAACTCTTGATTATTTTAAGACCGGGTCTTAAGTAAAAATGTTTTGACATATTGTGTAGGCGCAGAATCATGTATAGTAATGGTGTAGTAATGGTGATGGTTCAAGTATAAAGAAATGACAAGGGTAGTATAAAGGTCATAAGTGAAGAAGGTTTGGTGCAGGAACTAATAATGGAGCAGGGTCAGAGGTAAATAATGTTAAAAAAGATGCGATAAAATGGGGTATGTGCACACGTTTTTTTATTTCAGTCAGCCAGCCCCAGGGTTTCAGATGAATTGTCATCCAATACAAAATGGCCGCGTTTAAGATCTGATATCTTAAAAAAAAAAAAATCAATCTTCACTGGCTGGCTGAGATCAATATAAACTGGCTGTCAGACCAAACAAGATGCACTGCAGTAAATTATATTTTTTTCCGCACCATGTCTTTAAAATATGAATGAATTTATTCCAGCATTTTCAATGGAGTTTCTGTGCTAGTCTACGGCTAATGATGACGCTAGCGTTTACACTAGACGTCTTTCGTCTCTTTTTATATTGTAACAACCAAATGCATGCTCAAGTGTATTTAACAAATTATATTTGAATTACATTACAACATTGATGCTGTAAAAGGACCCGTATGAAATTGAAAATAGTCACATAAAGCTTTCACCGGAAGTTCGTCATTGGCCGAAAAACACTGGCTGTGCATATAGCCCATTGAAAAGGCTGTTGTGTAAGGTTGGGATCATACATGATAATAGGTGTATTCGACTTGAACCACACTTCAGTTGGAGGTCAATACCATATTTTAATTAAAACATTTGTAAATACTGTAGTTTATGCAGCGGAATACAGAAATAAGTTCTATATGAAAAAAGATACAAAATAAACCTATGGACCTATATAATAAATAAACCTAATACCCTATATAAACAAATTAATGACTGAGTTACCGGCTGCCAACTCAAATCAAGTCAAACTTTCTAACCGGCATGTCCTGCTTCAATTATTCGTTTTGGATTTTGATTGATCTGTGCAGCGCCACATAAAGATGAACAAATCTATTCACCTTATTCTTTGCGTACAAGCAAGTGCAGCCATTTGAATCTCTTTGGCTTGAGACTTCAGGTCTCATTTACTTCCATTCATTTTTTGACGTTGAAAACAACTTGTTGCGCTGTTTGATGTTGCTAACTGATATTTTCTTATTATATTATACTGCTTTGCCTGTATAGTCATAAACACACTTGTTTGTTCAGCCGTATATTATTCCTAGTCATTTCCCCCATATGCAACTGTATCAGTACTATCGCAAAAACAAATGCACTTCTTCATTGAAGAATAAGGTAAATAATTTGGATCAAATGAGCTGTAAAAAAAATGGTGAGGTCATAAATAGGTTAAGGGTGGTAATATTGGAGATGGGTGAAGTATAAAGAAGACGTAGTAGAGGTAGTATAATGGGTGGAGTCAAAACTGAAATGGGTGTGGTTTAGATATTAATTGAGCAGATCAGACATCAAAAAGGCATATCTGAAATTTTGGGCTCAGAGATGAAGAAGCTGCTGGGTCAATAGTGACGAAGAGGTATCATTATTGCAAGTGAGATCAAAGTTTTGGTGTAGGTATCATCGGGGCATGGTCAGTGGTTTGAGTCCAATTAGTTAGGGTTATTGACAAATATCGAATTACAGTAGAGTCAGCCCTTACCAGATCACTTGAGCAGAAATTACAGATGAGAAAAATGAATATGGCTAGGGTGGTACATAAGTCTGCAGTGAGCTGCAGTAACAGGCAAGAGCAGACAGATGAAACAGAGTGTTTATGTCTTGAGGGTAGATAGAGGTGTGAAGCATGCCCAAATGTCTGCAGTGGGAATGAATCTATTGACAGCGACTGGGAGGGAACAGAGAATGATATAAGAGGGATTTCTGAAAGAATATTGAAGCGAGGCATAAAGGACCATCCTGGAAAAAAAAGACAGCACTGAAGCAAGAAAAACGCTGAGGGGGCTCTCTGGAGACTATTCTGGAAAATGTTGCTGCGTCTGAATATCCAGGTGGTGGCAACACACCATGTAAGAGAAATCCATTTATAAAGAGAAGCTGTGCATGAAAACACGGAGCCTCCATCATCCTCCACTGACACCTATCTAGATACCCACAGCAGTGTAAGTGAAAGGAGGCGAGTTCAGATTTAACAACAATAATTATCTTTAAACACTCATTTTAGACACAAAAATGGAGAGGAATGATGGGGTTGTACAGCGAAGAATGCGTCTGTCTTAGGAACTTTCTCAGAAGCCAGGCACGTGGCAGTAGGCCTCCAGCGAGGCCAGCATGATGTAGATGAGCCACAGCACGATAAAGAGGAATGCGGTGAGCAGCTTGGGGGTTCGCGGGCCCCCCAACTCGCCCCCGGACACAGAGGGCCGGCGGCGGTACAGTAGTGTCACAACACATACCAGTGCCAGGATGGTGAAGAGGGTGACGGAGAACGCCAATGACCCTGGTGGGACTTGGAATTTTTTGCCTTGACTGTGCCAGTACACTGCAGCGATGGTCCACGCCACTCCGATACCCAGGAAGACATTAACTGCATTACTACCGGTCACATTTCCAATGGACGCATCGGCGTATTGGTCCTGGATGGCTGCCACCTTGCTGGCAAAGGTGTCTGGATAGAGTAAAAAAAAAAAGACAGAGAGAGAAAGATAAAAGATAGATGGTGAGAACTGGAAGAGCCCCACAGGAAAAATTAAATAAAAGAGGTTTCACTTTAAGGTTAGGGCAAACGTGTTTCTGGAAAAGACAGGACGTTTCAAACACTTCCTAATCTACTGTAACATGCCTGATTTAACTCAACAGTAGAAACTGAAGACCTGAAATGCAATGACCAAAGCTCATTTTGAGCTATAATAAAGGCTCAGCCGTTATATTTATGTTACCAGCATTTGTTTTGAAATATTTTCTTCTGAATAAAAGCTTCAGTTAAGCTCCGGTCAGACCACACAACTTTTATTGTTTGTTACAAAAGTCACTATGTCAGATTAAGCAATGTTTTCTTGACTTGTCGTGGGTAACAAATGTGCAGACTACATGTTACTTCACAATCAGTCATCCCGTGACGTCTACAATAAACATTATTTCCCAAAGCAGTCACAAGTGTTATTAATTTCAATGTCATTCTTAATCTTTTGTCAATCTTAATAAAAACTGATGCTTGCTGACAACTAGGCTACAGTATGACATTGATTGGATCAAACATTTATTTCAAAATATTCAAAACTATTTTCTTTTAAATCTAAATGTATATTTTCCAGCCATGGGTTGCTTATAAAAACACTTCCTTGTATGAACTTCAAATGAGCACCAAGGAAAAATCAAATGCTCAAGACAAAATAATGACATATTAAAAGAAATTGAAAATATATGACAGAGGTCTGTGATACAACAATTATAGTAAAGTACTAATTAATTCCTTATTTTCCATGAAATGAATCATTCACCTGCACAGCTGAGTAGTGGCTAGCACAAACAATAATATTATATTTTTCTTGGGAAAAAAATATTTTTGAAACAAATTGTGTGTGGTATAATTTGTATTTTAATTTTAATGTATTTTTGTTGGTCAGTTACCTACTAGATAAACAAAAATATTAAATAACATCTGAGGTGAAGTGATTCAAAACCAGTCCGCTATACGCTTCAGCGACAAAGCACAAACTGGTTTGTTAAATAAAATAAAATTTTGCCAAAATAAAATCAAAGTGAAACATTCACAGTTTCAGAGAAGTTTTCATTTTTAATGACTAAATTATCCATTGCACCGGTCAGTTTCAATTTAATTTGTTTAATCAAGTATTTTGAATAAGCAAGACAGGCTTTTGCAATGTATTTGCAGCACTGAATGTGTTTCCAGATTACTTTGGAAAAACAAACTTGGTTGGAAGAATGAGAGATCTCAGAAACTTGTTGTGAGAATGGAGATATCTGCATATTTGTATTTATATTTAAAACACTTTAATATTTTAGAGAAAGTAGTTAAAGTTTGCAAAACCAATGATTGATCTTATCCACCCAAGACCCACCCATAAGTAAATATGTTTCCAGTGTCAAACATGTGACGCAACTCGTCATGAAGATTGGGGGGAAAATTAAACATGTTTCTGCAAGGGTGTCGTGAAGAGTAAATACATGGCATCAGTTGTCATGAACTCTGCATTCTGTGTAGATTTGACCACATTCACTTTAACTTTTTTAGAATGTCTCCACACATAATTGCTATTTTCACTTAAACAGTTAAAGTTAAAGGTTACATTTTTCCATGTTTCCCAACAATGAGCCAGCTGTGAAAGCATACCATGAGAATAAAATAAAAAAGTCAATTCAAAACATCTGAGTGATTGTAGTGCTTGGTAATTTGGGAAATCTGACCAGAGTTTATATAGTGTGACCTGTTGTGATTCTCTAGAGGAGGCAAGCATCAGATTTCAAGTCTTTCCTTTAAAATAAATACAGTATCTGACAGCAAGAATGGGCAACAGAGCATAGTGTTTTACTTGAGTTATGAATTTGACTTCTCAATCTAAATTGAATGTGATGAGATAAAAGACCACAAAAAATAAATGGCAGAAAAGCATCTTCCTCTCGAGCTGCACACAAAAACATCAGTGTAACCAGTGTAGAATGAATCACATTAAATAAATTTTATATAAGCTGGTTATTTGAAATATTAAGCACTCACAAGTCAAGGAGTTACCAGTATGAATCCGTTTTATGAATTCAGAGCATTCAGAGCAGTAATGAGTTGACAAAATTGGCAATAAAATAAATGAGTCAAAGTATTTCTCTAGCTCAAATAGCAGAGTATAATAGTGATTGCAATGCCAAGGTTGTGAATTCAATTCAGGGAAAGCAAGAACTTGTAAAATGTGTACCTTCAACACAGTGTAAATTGCTTTGGATAAAAGTGTCTGCCAAAATTTAAATGTACATTTTCACATTTGCAAATTAATTTAGACATATGCAAAACTTACAAAAAAAATCACCTAAATCTTAATTTACCGAAAACAAGACTAAAAAAGGTGTCTCTATTTGTCATATTAGTCTTAATAGCTTTTGCACAATGTAAATATTGTTGTACACTCAACGGCCACTTTATAACAAGTATACCTGTCCAAGTGCTAGTCAAATTTCTAATCAGCCAATCGAATGTCAGGAACTCTATGCATTTAGGCATGTAGACGTGGTCATGGCAATCGGCTGCAGTTTAAACTGAGCATCAGAATGGGGAAGAAAGGTGATTTAAGTGACTTTGAACGTGACATTGTGGTTGTTGGTGCCAGACGGGCTGGTCTGAGTATTTCAGAAACTGCTCATCCACTGGGATTTTCATGCACAACCACCTCTAGGGTTTACAGAGAAGGGTCAGAAAAAAAGTATCCAGTGAACGGCAGATCTGTGGGTGCAAATGACTTGTTGATGCCAGAGGTCAGAGGAAAATAGCCAGACTGGTTCGAGCTAATAGAAAGGCAACAGTAACTCAAATATTCATTCGTGACAACCGAGGTATGCAGAAGAGCATCTTTGAGCACACAACATGTCAAACCTTGAGGCGGATGGGCTACAACCTCAGAAGACCACACCGGGTGTCACTCCTGTCAGCTAAAATCAGGAAACTGAGGCTACAATTTACACAGGTTCACCAAAATGGAACAATAGAAGATTGGACAAACATTGCCTGGTCTGATGAGTCTCGATTTCTGCTACAGCAATCGGATGGTAGGGTCAGAATTTGCCGTCAAAAACATGAAAGCATGGATCCATCCTGCCTTGTATCAACGGTTCAGGCTGGTGGGGGTGTAATTGTGTGGGGGACAACACCACAGCCAACATGGCAATGAGTTCACTGTACTCAAATCTCCTTCACAGATCCAGACTTAATCCAATAGAGCACCTTTGGGATGTGGTGGAACGGGAGATTCACATCATCTACATCTAGCCTACAAATCTGCAGCCACTGCGTGATGCTATCAAGTCAATATGAACCAAAATCTCTAAGGAATATTTCCAGTATCTTGTTGAATCAATACCACTAAGGATTAAGGCAGTTCTGAAGGCAAAAGGCGTCCAATCCGGTACTATTAAGGTGTACCTAATAAAGTGTCCGGTGAGTGTATATGTTTAGTGTACAAATTTTTTGACAGAACTTGTGATTTGCACAACATTAATTATATGAATTATATTACACTATACAAAATATTATATAACCCAAAATGTATTTTAAAATCTATATAAATTAGTAATAACTGAGCAGAATTAAAACGTACAATAGTGGTTTGCTCTCTATTTAATCACACAGCGGTCCAGAAGACACTTGTCAAAAGAATCTTTACATTATGTGAGTTGGAGCTTGAGCACGATTTACCATTCAGAGTCTGAGCATGTGCAGGATCAGTCCATTCCCTCTAATGCAGCTAACACCAAGACAAACACACAGATCTCTTCCAGCCTCCAGAGCAAATCATGCTCCTCTATATAGCCCACACATCCAAATGACATCTAAACAAACTGGGCTGTTCACACAACAGCTGACCTTTTTGGAATCAATTGGAAAAAGCAATACCTTAAATGTTTATGTAAAACAAACAGAATGCTTGATTCTGATTGGTTAATAATGATTTTTTTTAGTTCAATATCCCTTACTAATCAGCTCCATGCTATAGAAAGGACATCAGAAGCCCAAATAAACACTCACCAGGTACAGAAGTGCCCAAGGCCACAAACACCACGGCTGTGACTGTGTCCTTCAGGCCTACTGTACAACCAAAATGAGATGCCAGATCTCCAGTTACAGCAGTCAGGACCCCGATGAGTGTGATGGAGACAATAAAGCAGGCCCAGCCATTCCAGTATTCTGTTGGGGGTACGAAAGCGAACAGAACCTTCCAGAAAACCGTCAGAAAGTGCATGATGTAATCGAAGCAGGAGGGCAAGCGCTCTTCTCCGCTCTCTTCCTCATCGTCATCTCCTGCAAAGATATTCAAATAGTAGGGTAAATTTATTATAGTCAAAATTGAAGTCATGAGTACTTAACAAAACAATCCAAGATTTTGAAATGGTTAAATTTATTAAACAAGTGTCATTTTTGGTTATCTATTTATCATAAATTGCATCATCAATAAACTGTATACTGGGGTATGATACTGTTATTATACAAGCTACTGTATGAAAAAAACACATGATAATTCTCAGGTTCTCTAATATTATCATTTACAGTTATTTGTTTAAGTAAAACTTAATTTTTGTTTTATTCTGTAAAACACTGGTGCCATTTTTTCCCAAAATGGAAATAAAAATGCAAAAAAATTTAAAGTAATGCATATAATAATTTTTAGACCGCACAATACCAATGTTTTAACTTCCAAAGAGTTAAGAAATCAATATTTGGTGGAATAACCTTCATTTTCAAACAATTATTATTGTTTTGAAAAATAAAATAAAAAAAAACTCTAAATGACAATATATTTCTTTATTTAAAATTAGCAAGTAGTGTTAGCAGACCTTTATAGAATAAGATACACATAACACATTACATTTTTTTTCAAACCCATACCTAATCAACCAGTAAATCTAGAGCAATGATGCCAAAATTAGTGCCCGTGGGCCAAAGTTGGCACATGGTAGCCTTTGATTCAGCCCACCATCCCATCTGAGAATAAATGGAGAATGATGGGAATGTTTTTTGAGATTGTCAATTAAAATATAATGCAACCCTTTGTTTTATTGTTAAAAGCTATCTGAAATGAAATGTTTCAATTAAATGACGTGCGAAGCAGTGGCGCAGTAGGTAGTGCTGTCGCCTCACAACAAGAAGGTCGCTGGTTTGAGCCTCGGCTCAGTTGGCATTTCTGTGTGGAGTTTGCATGTTCTCCCTGCGTTCACGTGGGTTTCCTCCGGGTGCTTCGGTTTCCTCCACAGTCCAAAGACATGCGGTACAGGTGAATTGGGTTGGCTAAATTGTTCGTAGTGTATGAGTGTGTGTGTGAATGCGTGTGTGGATGTCCAGAGATCGGTTGCAGCTAGAAGGGCATCCGCTGCGTAAAAACTTGCTGGATAAGTTGGCGGTTCATTCCGCTGTGGCGACCCCGGATTAATAAAGGGACTAAGCTGACAAGAAAATGAATTAATCAATATATATATATATATATATATGCTTTTTAAACAGCGTGGCGCAAAACATCAAAACGACTCTAACTGAAACTAGTAAACAACTATTGCGTCGCCCCTTGCGCCACATTGCGCGGGATGTATGATAGGGCCCAATAAGTTTCTTTTTTTTAATTTCCTGATGTAAAAATCTGATCCAAATCCCTGCAATTCTGAGGTCCACCACAATATGATGTAGGAGTACAGTTTTCCCACCGATTTGATTGACAGCAGCGTATTAACATGTCTCCATTGTAATATATATATATAACCAATTGTAATTCATCACCACAGCCGCATTATAAAAGAAGATGATTTAATCCCGGGTGGTTGACGATTAATCATGTTTATTTTGTACATTAACATAATGGATATCCATAAAGCAATGGATATCAATGTGTATTCTGTCACATTTGCCGTGCAAAAACAGTGGAAAGTTAAACACGCATGCTGTGTGGTGTGTGTGTTGTTACGCAAACTTTGTAACGACATTGTGTGTGACTCATCATTACACAAAGGCTTTAATTAACTCCACAACAAATACATCAAATAACCATACGTTCTTACTGTAGTATTTTTCTTTATTGTCTTCACTGTGCTATTTATCTAACGCAGCAGGAACATGGCTCTGACACACACATGGGAAAGTTGAAAATCCCCATGTTCAAAAATGTATATTAAATAATCTGATGGGTGTTTTGAGCTGAAACTTTATACATAAAAACTTACATCTTTAAAAAGGGGTAAAATAGGCAGTCTTTAATTAATCAATGTAGACAATTATTTTAACAGTTTTTATTATTATTCGTATTGTATTTTAAAAGTCTGTTGCTGACTGGTTCTCAGTACACAAACACAGACAAACAATGATCACAGAAGGGGTGGGATGTTGTACAGTACTCGTTTGTGATGGACGTCATCACGTGTATCAACCAATGACAACATTCGTAATGGAAATAATGCTGAGTTCACACCAAACACATGGTGTAGTTTACTCATGGGATGTTTTTCACATAAAGCTAATTTTCCCCTTGAGATGAATTACTTGAAGATGTGTTTGAGACGAGTTCCCTATGTCCGATCCCAGTAAATAATAATAGATGCTGTAGGCAGTGGGGTTGCGCAAATCTGTGAATGAATGTTCTGAAGTGAAGTAAAGATTTCCCATGCTCAAGTTAGTAAGGATTGGGGAACACTTTAGGGAACATGTAATTCTAAACAAAATTCATAAATGAAGTGCTCATCTATCAAGCTTGTTATCTGAGAGCAGTGTGGTGCAAGGACAAGAACTGAAAACCACTGATGTAATGATCCCTCAACTATCACTAAAATGCCCTGGCAGTGCAAATAGCTTTGGCTTTAGATTTAATTTTATTACAATAATTTTTAAAAGTTACAAGATAGTTTTAATTGGTAATAAGTAAAAGGAATACAGCTATAAAAAACACCTTATTTATTCTTGAATTTTGAATGTAAAATGTTATTAATCACATAAAAATCATTTCCTTCAATAATTAAAATGTAGTCATAGCACTCAAATGAAACTTTGATTGAACATAAAAGAATTGAGTGTGAGCATGTATGAAGACAGTCTGACAGAGACACTGACCTGCACTGACAGTGACGGCGCTGACAAACTGCTCTCTCCAGCTACTGCTGCCCACCACCAGCGCAAGGTTAGTCTTCTTTATTAGCTTGTCCACGGTATTCTGAAAAAACACACAAAAGCATACATAAAACACCAAGCAGATAAATCAAACCTAAACCCTACAAAAATGTGTCCTCATCTTGGACAAGATTTAATACGAGTCTGTCTCGTAGCCCACTGCGCTCAGAGGTCTCTGCTAAACTGATTTCAGTGAGGCAGTGGGCGTCTCTGCACAGATTTTCATTTTCTCCAATGTCATTCTGTCCTAGCCGTTCGCGGGTTTGCATTTAAAAGACTGTGGAAAGAGTAGCACAGTTTTTCCCAAATCTCTTCTTAGTCTCTGAGCTCCCTGACCCGGGAGACCTCTGGTATTGAGACTGTCAGCATGAGGATGTTAGGATTCAGACTGAACATCAGCTGTATTTTTCTTCCTGGTGGTGGATGAAGTATATGCAAATCAAGATGTGAGTATGAGTTAAGAGGTGGTGTTTACAATAATGCATTTCTGTTTTAAAATGCTTAATTTTTGTTATGATTATGCCTGATGTTACAACTGAACTCATTGTCCCACAAAAATATTTTGAGCATTTTAAACCCCTAAAAAGGTTTAGGTTAGAAATATAGGTGATCGGTTTCCAGTGGTGTAAATTAACAAATTACAAATTACTACTGTAATTGTGCAGGTTTTCTCAGAAATTGTAATTTACTAAGTAGTTTTAAAAAATGTGTACTTTTACTTTACCTTGAGTACGTTTTTTGTGCTGCAATGGTACTTTTACTCCACTACTTTTTTTTAACTTGCGGTCAGTACTTCAATTATTCTTGTCTATGGGGATTAGAAAAATCATTCCTGTGATTTCTGTCCAATAGAATCACTCATAGAAGTAAAGAGATAAATCGCATCATAATGAACTACCTCGAGACATGGGCGATTTATAATTGCAGCAAACTGTTTTGATTTTAAATGAAAAAAAAAAAAAAAAAAACAGTATAGTACAAAATGAATAAACACAAAATGTGTGTAAATATAAAAATATGTAGACATTAGAAATTGATTTCTATGCCAGTTCTAAGTTTTAAGCCTATTTAAGCGAACTTGTAAGCATGAATTTGCATTATTTAAATAATATGTTTACTTTTTATAAATAGAACCTACCCATTTGATCAGTAATACACAAATGTGCTGTCCACATTTATTGATTTTACATAATTTGTTTACACCAGGGGTGTCCAAACTTGGTCCTGAAGGGCCAGTGACCTGGAGAGTTTAGCTCCAATCCTAATCAAACATACCTAAACCAGCTAATCAAGCTCTTGCTAGATATGCTAATAACCTCCTGGAAGGTGTGTTGAAGCAAGTTGGAGCTAAACTATGCAGGACACCAGCCCTCCAGGACACCCCTGGTTTACACAGCTCATTTTTTTAACAGAATTACTTGACAAACAACTGAAAGTCATGACCACTAAAAAAATAGTAAAGACCTCTCATTTTTTACTTGTTTTGAATGATTTCATAAAAATTTAGTGAATTAATTCATCACTTTGAGCGGATTTTGACTCACTGACTTGTTAACTTGGAACAGGTGCTACCAGATCTGTCAAATTATGAATCAATTGTTCTGTGCAGTTAATATTTGTGAACCAATTTAACAAGATAAGTGACAGAATTCCCCTTATTCATAAATCAGATGTCACTGTTTAAAAATAACTTTTTTACTCTGCTACATTTATAATGTGCAGTAAAATATACAATAATTTATTGTGTAAAAAGGGCAACACAGTGGCGCAGTATGTAGTGCTTTCGCCTTACAGCAAGAAGGTAGCTGATTCGAGCCTCGGCTGGATCAGTTGGTGTTTCTGTGCAGAGTTTGCATGTTCTCCTTGCGTTCACGTGGGTGTCCTGTTTTCCGGGTGCTCCGGTTTACCCCACAGTCCAAAGACATGTGGTAGAGGTGAATTGGGTAGGCTAAATTGTCCATAGTGTATGTGTGTAAATAAGTGTGAATGGAAGTTTCCCAGAGATAGGTTGCAGCTGAAAGGGCATCCGTTGCGTAAAACATAATCTGGATAAGTTGGGGATTAATAAAGGGACTAAGCCGGAAAAAAAATGAATGAATGAATGAATGAATGAATGAAATGTAAAATAAAATGTTTTCTAAAATTAATATTATCATATAATTATAGATACTCAAACATTTACTTAATGATATTAGGTACTTAAATATCACTGACCTTAAACTCATACGACTCTTCTATGACCACCTCCAGTTTGGTGTGCTCTCCCAGACTCGGACAGCCCATCTTGGCCACCTCTTCTTCCTCAGCACCCACTGCTGGTTTGTTATCATTAGAGTCTCCTGTCAGTGGAAGACACAGTGAAAATCAACTTAGCTGTGCAGAGTTTGTATGGATTACAGAGCTGAGAATGTAGAACTCGATTTTACAGAAAATTCCCTAAGAATGAATTGTGCCCACTGGTAGAGCTGTTTATTTGCATGCACGGTCTGCACCCAATCCACTAAAGACATTTTGCAAATCAGGTAGAGCTGCAAATTCAGCCGAAAATCTGCATTGTAGACAGTTAGAATGATAATTTGTTTCCATCTAGCAGGTCATTTCAGAGATGTGAGTTCAATGAGTCAAGATTGTGATTAAAAAACACTTACATAAACAGATTATCTAAAACTTGAATGAAATAAAAAAGATTGAATCTAACAAACGAATCCAAATCAGAATAAAATGGGGAAAAATGTAATTATTAATGAATATTAAAGCACTTTAATAACTATTAATTCCTTATTTAAACTATTTATAAAGCACTTTTCTGGACACTCAAAGTGCTTTACACATTTTTTAAGAGGGAATCACCTCATTCACCACCAGTGTGCAGCATCCACCACTTAATACTGTTTCCGGGTCCAAGCCGCCATTCATTTGAGTGGAGAAATCAGTCGTTTATGATCACGTTTTATTCCTGTCACACATTAAAGTTAATTTTATATAAAATCATAGTGTACACAACAATCTCTGGGCTTGCTGCATAACAAATACCAAAAATTTAACAATTTATAAAAGAATTAATTACTTTCTGGCCATCGGATATTAGGCATGGACATATATATTGCGATCCTGATTCTCGAAAGTGTTAAATCGCTTTGTAAATGTTTATTATTGCCATCTCATGAGTCTCCCCATTCAGTTGAATAGAGCGCTTGGACCCGGAAGGCACTTCGCGTGACGTCACACTTAACAAGCAGATTGTGCCAGACACCAGCTGATTGGTGGAGAGGAGACAGAGTGATAAAGCCAATTTTGATATGGGATGGTTAGGAGGTCATGATAGACAGAGGCCAGTGGGCAACTTTAGCAAGGATGTCGGGGTTTACCCTCTTTTTCAAAGGACATCCTGGGATTTGTAAACGTCTCATCTGAAAGACTTCGCTCATTGAGCAGTATAGAGTCCCCATCAATATACTAGGGCGTTATGACCCACACAGATCGCAGGTTGAGCGTCCCCTGCTGGTCTCACTAACATCACTTCCAGCAGCAACCTACTGTTGATTAGCTTTAGTGTGTGCAGAGAGCTAGCTGTTGGCCTTAAACGCAACTTAATGGAAACTAAATGTTTTTAAGATAATATTTTAGGCACAGTTGCAATATGAATTATTAAAAATTATGCTTTTACAAAAAAAATAAACAAAACAAATGAATTGCTGCCTTTTATGTTTTAAGGTTAGAATTGTATGCATGAAGATGATTAAATTTGAGAGTCTGTGGCATTTAAATGGTTGAAAATCCTGCCCTAGAACATTTTCTGTGCTTTCACAGTTTGCATAGTAAAATCTCGAACTACAATTTTAATGACTGAGCAAGAATCAGATTTTGGAGCTAAAAAATGCACACAAATGCATTGCAACTATTTAGCAAATAAAATGTTTTTATACAATCCACTGTATATCATTATATATATATATCATTATGTATATCAATTATATAGCCAGAGCTACGTATTGCTGTGGGGCGGTATGACACTGTTCCTTTTTCCGCTTACCAGCTGACTGATTACCTCCATATGTACAGCTTTCTCGCTGTTACCAGTTAGTCCAGTAGCTCAACATGTATGTCGGCGGACTTGGAACGCATAGCAGAGTTCACCACGACAAGGGAGTTCGAGTTTGGTGAAGAATGGTTCCAGAAAGTGGTAAAAGATAGAAAGATAGAAAGATAAAAACAAAAGCTAAAAAATAAAATAAACGACTAAATAATATGGTGAGAATGTGATAAAATCTTAAAATGTGGTAAAAATCAGAGGGTTTTTATTTTCTGGATTGCTTTTGAAAACACTGCGCTTGGGTTTTGGGAAGGGAGTTGGCGGGTCAATTGGTGCTTTTTAAAACACCATTGGTTGGGTTTAGTGAAGGGGAAGGGTGGGGTTATCGGTCGGATGGTCAGTCAGTGTATCAGTCAGTCGTCAGTGGCCTCTGGTGGATTTACGTGAGAATAGCAGGCGAAATTTGAGATTTGAAAATGTGTGCATAGCGTCCTCTGGTGGATTTACAAAAACAAAAACCAGCAAAAAAAAAAAAAAACATAGCTCCTGGGACGTATTTGGCTCTCTCCACAAATGTATATTGGGGTACATAATCAGAATGAGCCTGGGTTGCAAAGATTGACAGGTCAAAATAATCAACCAATGCTTATGTAAATGGCTTCAACAAACATAATTGGATCTCGTAACAGTATGGCAATTCGAAGAGCATGGGGATGAACATTAAATTAGAGCAGTTAGTACATAATTAATGTTCAGAAATGGCCTGGAGATATTACTTCAACATGGCCGTTTGCACAGCGACCAGTACAGCCTGTTCCTATTAGAACAAGTCACCCATTATCAGACCTCCATTGTCTCGCATTATTCGCTCCATTCACACAAAGACTCCTCTCCATCAAATCTGTTCCTGAATTATTCATGGACAGATGTGAAACCTATTAATTTAATATTAAACAGAGACAATCTAATACAAAAAGCCATAATGCTGGGGAGTGTGATTGTCCAACAGAGGTGCACTGACCGTGTTTCTGCCCGATCTCCAGCAACACCGGCTCCCCCAGGTGGATGGTGAAGGTTTTGTTCTTCTCGTACTCCTCATCGTCAATGATCTTCACCTCCAGGATCTTCCTGTGGTTGACAAAGACAGATTGCTTAAATTGAGAGCGAAGCAGCTTTACAAAAATGTGTGTTACAAATGTGACAGTGGAAGGAAAAGCTACTGAAATTTTAATGTTCCCCCAGCAGTCACTAATTTTATCACGTACCTTAAAACTCATCATTCATGATCAAAATGACATAACTGTACAACCTTATCTCATTCAGTATGCACAGGCATATGAATATGTAAATTAGCCATGCCCGTACGAAATTACACCTGACTGCCTGCTTCACTGTGGAGAATATTTTCTCCTTAAAGGGATAGCTCACCCAAAAATAAAAATGTACTCACTGTTTTTTCACCTTCCAAACCTTTACGAGTTTCTTTGTTTTATTTATTTATTTTTTTTGTTAAACATGCACACGCAAAAAAAATATATTTTGAAAATCAAATGGAAACATCCAAGTAACCACTGACATCCATAGCAGGAGAAACCAATACTGTGGCTACCATTTTTCTAAATATCTACAGTACTTTTGTGTTGAACAGAAAAAAGTCAAACGGGTTTAGGTGAGCATCTGTTGACAGAAAAAAAAAATTGGTTGAACTGTCCCTTAAAAACAGCAGTGTGCCAAGAGAATCTCCTAAGGTGCTGTCACAGGACAATAATAATTTTAGAGTTCCTAGAACTATTGGAGGAATTGGCAACTTTCCTTTCTTAAAAGTTTATGTAATGCAGATCTCAGAGTTCCAGCATTTTTTTTTGTGTTCATTATTGTTAACAGAAGCAAAATAATGTTACTTAAATGTTACACAGAGGTAATTCTGGTGTAATTCAGTCAGAGATAGATGTTTGAACCAAAAACTGACATACTGATATACTATAAGCCACTAAAGCCATTCGAAGGTGACATCATTTATATATTTAACAATGCAAACACCTGGGGCCTCATGTACGAAGACTTGCGTGGAAATCTTACTAAAACATTGCGTACGCACAAAGCTGTAAATGTGCGTACGCAGAAAAAAATTCAGATGTATGAAACACTGCGTACGCCGAATCTCACGCATATTCTTTTGTACATCTGAATGAACGTGAAACTGAGCGCAACATGCACGAGCACAAAACCCCTCCCTGCCTCCTCCCCCGTATGAATATGCTAATGACTATGCTAATGGCAAAACCCAACGAAAAAGCAATGGCAAAAGCAAGCAAAAAGAGAAACTTTGAACAGAATGTGAAATGGAGGTGCTGCTTTCGGAGGTAGACCGGAGAAAAGCGGTGTTATTTGCAAGTTTGTTCGGCGGAATTAACAACAAAAGAAAAAAAATAGAGTGGGAGAGTTTAGCTGATACGGTTAACACAGTTGGGTCTGAACATCGCACTGAGTGCATTTAAAAAAGAAATAGTGTGGTTTATATCTGTAAAATGTTGCAGTACCCTTCGCAGTCTCAGTGGCGCACCTCATAAGAAGCATATGATCACGTACTGACACGTTCGAGCATAAACTCGGCTCGAATCCAGCGTCTGATGAGTTCATTCTTCTTTTTTTTCCCCGCTACATATCAGATTTTGCCCACTATTTATCACGAGAAAGACAAGTAGGAATCATCAATAAGTTTGTGCATCATATTTTATTTGCACATTTATTGAATGGAAATGTTTCTGATTCACGCATGCAAATTTATCTTCACATAGTGTCTTTATAGCAATGTGCGTGCGGTAGATCGCTCAGATTACATTGGGAAAACAGGCGACCGCTGCAAATTGTGCTTTAATGTTTAGCTGGTCAACTGTATGGTATGGAAATCTTACATACCTACTATATGAACCCGTCTCATACAGCTGCCATTGCAAGGATCAGACACTTTGTAGAGAATAATTTAACACAACTGCCTCTAGGAGTCGCCAATGGAAATAAAACAGACACGCACAAAAAATGTGCGTACGCCTGCCAGAAAGCTGCCGTGAACCTGCGCAAATTCCCACGTTCAGTTCATTGTTAGTAAATCCAAACGTGAGCGATTCTGAGCGTGAAACCTGGCGTACGCAAAGTTTTTGTGCGTACGCAGCGTTGATACATGAGGCCCCTGGAGAATAGAGGAATGCATGATAATAGCTGTGCTTTTGCTGTTTTTTAGTTTTTTTTTCCCCTTTGGTCACAGTTTATTTTGATGGGCCGTTTGTTGAATATAAGTTACATTACATCTACATGCCAACTAATTATCATTAGATTATAAGTAGACTGTTAAGTTGGGGTTGGGGTTAGAGTTAGTGTATGTACTTGTATGTTGAAATGTACTTGCAAAGTTTCTTTCAGTGAGCTAAATATCTGTTGAAGGAGCAGTATCAATCAATGGTCAATACAGGTGCAAACGGGTATGTGTAGGCAGTCCAGAATCGTAATCAGTAACAGACGAGAGGTCAAAAGGCAGGCGGCAGACAAAGACAAGGATGCTAACAAGACTAAGGTCGGTACAGAGGATAAGAAGACTAGGAAACGCATTGTATTGCTACTTACAGTGAACAAGACTCTGCAAAGTGAATAGGTGAGTGTGTGGCTTAAGTAGTGAGTGCAATCAGTCTCTGACAATCCTCAGGTGGTGCGAGTAATCAGTCTAGATGAGGAAGCATGTGGGAGTGTGACCGGAGTGCATGTATGAATATGTAGTCCATAAATGGCAGAATTGTAGTCCATGGTTATTGTTAGTGCAAACCAGCGATCTTATGGGATATGATCGCTGGTAATCGTGACATATATATTTTAACTAATTCATATATATTCTGTATAATATATTTATATATTATATTATATGTTATATACAGTGCTCAGCATAATTGAGTACACCTCATTTTGAAAATTAAAATAATATTTTAGTCTTCAAACATCTTTAGAAATTGAAAGAGATAGAAATAATTAAGATAAAACATTGAAAAAAAATTACAACCTACAAACTTTCAGCTAATTTTTTCACAAAAATGTTTTGCTTCTCTTGATTTTTCCTCTTTTTTTAAAATGTATTTAGTATTTTTCTATAACAAATAAATTTGGCTGTACTAGTTTTTGGACAGTCATCGTAAGTTATTTTGTTAGATAAGCTCCAGATTTGGCTTCAGTACTGACTAATCTAATGTATATGCGAAAATGTAATATTGTATAGCTACCTATTAAAAATATGAATTTAAAAGATAGATTTGTAAGGGGTGTACTTATATACTGTATGCTGAGCACTGTAAATTAACACATTTCATATGATATGCATTCACCAAATCAATGTACATTTGCATCACTGGTAGCTCCATTTGTTCTGTGTTAAACCCTTCGCTAAAGTATGAGCTAATTCAGTCCCCCAAAAAGGCATTCATATAACTAAACTTGCTTCCTGTTCCTGTGTGCTGTGAACACAACAAAAAGTGGGTACTCCTGCTGATTGTTCTAGGAACCGTAAAAACATTCCTTTGGTCCCGTTTTGATGTCTGTTTTCGGTAGCCTACAGTTTAAGGGGAGAAAATCCTCAACATCACTAGTAAATTTGCACATGCTTTGTCTTCAAGCAATTTGAAAACAGCTGATATATACTGTGCAGTATAAGCAATACTAAAAGCTAGATTTTCACCACAGGGATGCAAACCATTGAAAAAAATTCTGAGAAAGACATGGAAAGGCAATGAAAGAAAGAGGCTTATTCATGAAACAGGAGCAGAGTGGATTTGCAAGTAAATCATTCATGAAGCCATTATTATGTAGATTGTCATCTTCAATTCAATGCAACAAATGATGCAGGAATGTATTTATGAATGATTTACTGCAAAATTAATTCTGCTTGTTTATTTGCATGAGCCCCGAAGAGCATACATATCATCCAAAATATTGATTGAACACACAGTTATTGAAAAAAAGGTGGTTTAACTCTGCAAATCTTCATGCAGTGGGTCTTTCAGAGTTTCTCAGATTTCTTGGGCTCATTACAATTAACAGAAGCAAAAGCAGAAGAGACAATTCCCTTAGAGAGATATGCAGAAACATGCAGCAGCTCAGATGTTAAGTGACGAGGCTGTGGTACGATGTTTTTCTGATTTAGGAGCAGGCGGTTAGCCATGGCTAATAACCATTTGTCATTATTAACACACAGAACACATTGGTCATGGTTGATAAACACTGTCTACGGAAAAGCCGCACAGCAGCAACAAGGAAAGAGAGAGAATTTAATTAATTTAGTGAAAAATATGGTGGCACTCAATAACCACGGTGTATGCAATTATGCGGTACATTCATTTTAGTTTGGATTCCATTTTTTAATGTTATATAACTATAAAATGGTTAATTCTTATGATTTAATATGATTTTATAAATTACATAATATGTTTTAAAACACACAATAGGGCAAATTAGGACACGAAACACCAGCTCATTTTTTGAGTTTGACAAAAAAAACTAATTTAACGATCCATACTCTACATACACTCTCAGGAAAAAAGGTACGAGAGCTGTCACAGAGGTGGTTCCTTTTTAAAAGGTACATATTTGTACAAAAAGGGTCCATATTAATACCTCAGGGATACATATGAGTACCTAAAAAGTACTAAATTATATCTGTTAAATTTTTTAGGTACCAATATTTACTTTTGAGGTACCAATATAGGCCTTTTTAGTACAAATCGTCACCTTGGAATTATAAGGTTTTATCTGCGTTCTAAATGATTTTGAGATATTAAGCCTCAAAGTTTTGCATTCCAAACCATAGGTGTGTAACACATCTCTTTCACACATTAACATGACAGAGACCCTAAATGTACTCTAAATGTAAATGATCAAAATTCTCTTAAATTTGCAAATTGGGGTAAACAAAACAGGGCAAATGCAGAAAGAACCTTCTAATTCTAAAAAGTCATTTTCCACTTGGAATTATAAGGTATTATCTGGCAGATTATTAATTAAAGCATTACTTTTATAAGAAATACAATCCCAAAAATATAAATTGGTGTTGTAACAATATGTTGATGCTTGAGAAAGTAAAAATTTTGCTT